CTCCAATATTTTTTGAAACTTTATTGCGTAAAATTTCGATATGGTTTTTCCAAGTTAGATTTTCATCAATGAAAACACCAAAGAAATGTAATAAATTTAATAAATTTCCGCTGATTCCATAGTTTTTAAGTTTTTTTATAAGAATCTCATGATCTATCGTATCAAAGGCTTTTGATAGATCAATGAAAACTCCAAGAGTAAATTGTGATTTCTCAAAAGAATTTGCAATATTATTAGTTACGTGAAGTATGGCGTATTCCGTGGAGTTATTTTTTTTGAATCCATATTGACTGGCATTTAATATTTTATTTTTAGAAAGATGTTCATATACTTTGTTGTAAAGAATCCTTTCAAAAACCTTTGAAAAGCCAGAGAGTACAGATATTGGTCGATAATTATTTATATTTGATAATTCACCACCTTAATATATTGGTGTAACTTTAGCGATCTTTAGTTGGTCAGGAAATATTCCTTGTTTTATTGAGTAACTAAACACTTTGAATAGTAGAGTTTTTATGATATCGTAAGATAATATAATAATGATACTATTTATTTCGTCCTGACCTCTCGCTTTATTTGTTTTTAGCATTTTTTAAGCATATTCAAATTCTTTCATTGAAATTTCCAAATTATTAAGTACAGAAATTTTGGGAAGGCTAAAATAATTTGTTTTGTTGGTTACAACTGGAATATTTTTTGCTAGATTAGGACCAACAGATACAAATAGTTATTTATCTGATTAGCTATATCTTTTGGATTATATATGAAATCATCATTGTTTCTAATAACTTTTGGTAAGTTGCATGTTTTAATCTTATGGTTACCAGTGATTTCATTTAAAACTTGCCACGTGCGCTGTGAGTTATGTTTAAATTTCTCTAGTAGGTTTGAGTAGTATTTTTTTTTTAAGATTTTTCTTTGACTTTCAAAATTTTTAACATAACTTTTATAAATCGCTTTATAACCTTTTTAAAAATTTTAGGGTAAAGGTAGTTATATTTTTTATTGAATGAAAATATAGAGCTGCAGCATTATAATATAATATATTAAATAGTGGTTACCAACAAAGAGTGCAAGCATACAGTTACTTTGTCCTTTACCAGGAAGAAATGCATTAAAATACCCAGCAACACCAGCTTCATCACTTCGCCTAAAATGAAAAGCTTTACATGCAGTTCTTATCAATCTAGTGGAACCTGATTAAGCAGTATTAGTAAATAATAAAGAGGAAGGTGTTTAAAAGGAAAATATAGGGGCTCCAAACAGGATTGCCCGATGAAAATCCATAACAATCTCATGCGCGACCCAGTTAGTTAACAAAGACAAAATCACGATGGTACGGTAAAATACGATGGAATGTAAAAATGGCTAATCGTTGTTCTGCTTGTTCTTGTCCCGTACTGGCTAGCCACTGTTTTGCCTTCGCTGGCTAGCCACGGCTGGTCCATAAAAAATCCTTAGAGCAAAACGGAGCTTCGCCAGCGTCGGCAGCCGAAGCCGGTCCAGCGCAGCAGCCTATACAGGACCAGTGCGGGACCATTATAAATTTGCTGTCTGGGTATGTACTCACTAATTACAACAGATGAAAACTAGGGCCAGAAGATATCCTAAAGGTTGTTCAATGTAGGTGTAAAAACTGTGTTCAAGTTGATGCTCCTGCAAAAAGATGGGACTTCACTGCACTTCATCGTGTTTTACCTGTCACGGAATTAACGGTACAAATGTGAAAAAGTAGACAATGAAAATGAACCAGCAGATGACCGTCACTTCTTAGATATTTTGCATAAACTAAATTTTGATTCACTTAGTTGCTTTTTTAAGAATTTCCTAGATAAACTTCTTTGTAAATATATTTTAACATTATCTTGGTAACTTCACCGAATAATCACGTTTAACAGTATTAATATATAATAGAGGAATATTTGTTTTATACACACATCTTTACATCAAATTTTCAAAAAATTTGCTAAAATAGAGTCCCCCTCCACCCTTATATAATAATTTCAGTTATTATTTAGCTTTCAGTTCATTATTAAACCAACTACTAATATTTAGGAGTAATAAATATAAAAATTATATTACATTTACTTGTTTAATAGAATGATATTTTTCAGTCGAATACGTTAATTTTATGCTTTTCTGCTAATCTTTGTCCAATTTTTTTTCTCAAAATAAAAAAAAATACCAATTTAATTTTACTCATTTTAAAGAAGAAAAAGCAAGTTTTCTAACGATATATAACATGTCTTTATAATAATTTTATCTAGGTTGAGACTGAATTCTACAGGACTATAACTAGGAGCAGGCAAACGCCACGGTTTTTGATTTAATTGTGATTAAATTAAAACGCCACGGTTTTTGATTTAATTGTGATTAAATTAAAAATAGAAATGCGTTAAAAACTAACTTTTCTTCAAAAAATAAGCAAGGGGCGCCAAAAATCAAATTTAAGAGACATTCATTGATAATTGTTTCAAATTTCAACCATTAAGCATGTAGCTATGTCAGATCATCTTAGTTGTCCTAAACGCTGTGGTGCATTGGTTACAGTTCTGACTCAGAACCAAAAGGTTCTAGGTTCAACCCTGGCTCTAACCAAATATATGCGACATAAGGAAGGAAGGAGGTGCAAACTTCCTAGTAAAAAGCTTATCATCGGTGCTCTTTGATAAGACAATAATAACTTCTAGGAGCACTTTAATAACCACACAAAGAAAAAAGTTAAAAAAAAACAGTAAAATTGTTTTTTTTTTTTTTTTTAAACAACTTCGCTTCCAACAAGGCTGCAAGCAACCACTAATTAGTGTTGAAAGTTACTGGAAGAGAAAAGATGAAGATTGTAGAGCAAGATAACGATTGACAGACTATTTAAAAAATTGCAAATTATATGAATCAGGAAAGCAAGATGAAGGAAGCGAATTCCAAAGAACTGATGTTCGAGGAAAAAAACTAGACGAATAAGAGTTTTTGGAGCACTTAGGAACAGTAACAGAAAAAGGATGAGACTTAATTGAATGACGAGTAACACGAGAATGAATTTTAGTAGATGGCACAAGAGACGCTAGCACTTTAGAGCAGTGCCCATTATAGTATTTGTAGAAAAAAGAAAGAGAAGCAACATTACGACGATGTGACAGAGGTTGAAGGTTGGCTGCAAGAGCAGGTCCAACTATGTTTACAATGCGTTTTTGCACCTTGTCTAAAAGAGAAAGGGCATCATTAGAAGATCCGCCCCAGATATGGCAACAGTATTCCATACAAGGCCGGATTTGAGATTTGTAGAGATAGAGAATAGAATCCAGAGTAAGAAAGTGTCGAGCTCAATAAAGAGAAGCAACTTTAGCAGATGCTAATTTTGCAACGGATTTGATATAAGGTTTCCAAGAAAGATCAGAAGTAAGAGTTAATCCTAGAAGATGAAGGGTAGGAGACTCATCGAGCACATTACCGTTCATAAATATAGGAAGGTCTAAATTATTGCGATAACAATAGGCTGAAAAAAATTGAGTTTTATCTGAATTAAAGTTCACCAGCCACTGTGAACCCCATGCTGTAGCAGAGGTGAGATTCTTTTCAAGCTCAGATGCCCTCTGCAAGCAATCAGCGGGAATTGGCTTCTTATCGTGACAAGAATAAATGATAGTATCATCAGCGAACAATGCCACCTTAGATGTGAGAATATCTGGAAGATTGTTAATATAAATTTAAAAAAGTATAGGGCCAAGGATGGAACCTTGAGAAACCCCTGAGGTTACAGAATAAGAAGAAGAGTGCTGTCCATAGAGGACAACTTTTATACTACGATTGGAAAGGAACAATTCAATAATCTTAAAGGTGTTTCCAGATACACCGTAAGAAGAAAGCTTATGGAGAAGACCAGCATGCCAAACTTCATCAAACGCTTTAGAAATGTCAAGAACGATGGCCTTAACCTCTCCACCTTTATCTAATGCGCGATAAAACTTATCGGTTATTACTGATAGCAAATCAGCCGTAGAACGAGATTTATTCACAAAGAACTTATTTAAAAGGTTTATTCACAAAGGTTCATTCACAAAAAAGTTAGCTAATTAATTAGCTAAATTTTTGTCAACCGTATGTTTCTATGATTCTAAATTATAAACTAAGGATTATTTATTTCAAAAAATCTAAAATACCAGAAGTTTTGTTCAGATGGTGGAAGGGAGAAGCAAATGTCGTTTTCTTTATATGAATTACAAGGATCGTGATTATGCTTTGGATGATGAATCAGATTTTACATATTTTTGAAAAACTTTTTTTCTTTGTGCTAACATTAAGGACCCGGTATATGTTCAACGGTTATGAGGAACCCCTTAAAATACTTTTTATTCAAAAACATTTTAAATCTAATGCTATTTTAGAGCAGGTTTTTTCAAAAATTGTTTTTAAAAGCCACCCAAATACACATTTGTAAAAGCACAAGGCAAAAAATATAATTATCAAACTTCGTAACGGTGACGAAGAAATCAATATGACGGCATTTTTGAACCAATCCTTTTAGTTCTCGAATATCTGAATTAGCCCCCTCCCTCCCTCCCCCCCCCCCGCCCACCTTCTCTAAAATAAAGACGCCCATAAACATTTTAATTAACATTTCAACTGTTATTTACTAATGATAAACAAAAATGCACGAATGCAACGATTTATTATTGTTAAATTAGATATAAATGATTTATTAGGCATCATCATTGTTCTCTCTAAATGAATACAAATGTTGCACATTGAATACATAAATAAATAAAGCCATAGTTATTGGAATAAAATATTAAATGTTTTCACCCTGATCTATGATTCACTTATTAAATATGATATAGAATTGACGAAGAAAAAAACAGATTAAAATGCTTGATGTTAACTAATAACTTTTATTTAGTTTTATTAAGTTGATACAGTAAAAACGTTTGTTTTTTTTTTTGGAAAATTTATATTTGCTTTTGTTTTTTTGAATTTATGTAAAAGTTTAAATTTATGTGAGTTAGATTTCCCTAGTTTATGATTTTAACTAACATTCTTTTTGTTTTTTAAAAAAAAGCATATGAAAAAACATATAAAGTGGTTAATATTAAACTAGAAGGTATGTAGCTTTTTTTCGAACTTAAATTGTTTATTTTTTACAACTGTTTTTCACACCATTTTTTAAATCAAAACAAAATGTTTGGAAAGTACAATAATATCCTACAACTTTTCAAGTTTTCTTCAAAAACAAAGCTACTACTGTCAAAAATAACATTTTTTTGGCAACGATTTTTGCTTTTAAAAAGTGATTTTCTTACTATGAGCTTTTTTAAACATGTATTTCTTTTTTCTTAAAAGTGGTAGCTTCAAATCGTCCGAAATTGTAGTGAACCAATTTTGAAACTGTATTTTAAGCATTATCATCGGCTTTCAAATAATCATGTTTTTAATTAAAAAAAAGGTATACGAGAAAATGCAAAAGATTTTACTTTTTAAAGAGTTATTTCATTACTTTAGAATTCTGTTTCGTGAAAATAAATAATGAGTAAGAAATTCATAAAAAAACCTTTTAAAAATAATGCTTTGCTTAAAATATAATGATAAACTATAATGTTAAGATAAAATTAAAAAAATATATTGTATAAATGTATATATGTTTTACAATTTAATGTAATTTCTATAGAAAAAATAAACAGTTGAGCAATGTTTTTAAAACGGAGTTTGCATATACTATAGTTTTTAAACTTGGTACTGTGAAAGTCTTGTAATCGAAAACCTTATTAAAAATTAAAAACAGTTTTCAAAAGTAAAGTAAAACATACTTAGCATGGCCGAAAACACCTTGGATAAGGGGGGGGGGGGGTAGGAGGCACATGCCATCCCCCCTCTTTCTTTTCCCGGAGGACCTTTTCTTTTTTTTTTAAGAAATTTTTTTTAAGATGTAGAGGACTTTTTTTACAAATTTTTTACCAAACTCGTATCGTCGGCTTGCTTTGAGGTCTACTATATATTAAATACAATACGTCGTATAGTACGTCAATAAGTACGTCATATTGGGGAAGTGGGGCATAACCGCATATGGAGACACAACCGTTTATTTTTTTTATTTTTTTTTATTTTTTTTGCCGTTTAATAAATCTTACAATAAAAATTGTACACGTAAAATAAACGGACGGAGCAAGAAGAAGACGTATATTTTCTTATCTCCGAGCCCCGTTTACATTGTCGCCTTCAGTTTAGGTAACCAGTTAAAATCAAAAGTTAAAAACTTACAGGTTGAAGATTATATATTACAATATATTACAATTAGTAAATCGTATAACAATATATATATATATATATATATATATATATATATATATATATATATATATATATATATATATATATATATATATTTATATATATATATATATATATATATTTATATATATATATAAATATATATATATATATATATATATATATATATATATATATATATATATATATATATATATATATATATATATATATATATATATATATATATATATATTGTTTATTTATTTTTATTTTTTATAAGAAGAAAATAAGAAACAAATCAAGACAAAAATAAGTGAGTAATGATGACTTTTTTCAGTTTAATTATTTTAGGTAGTTATTTTTAAAAAAAATTTTAAGATCCAAGTAATTTTCTAATAGAAAACGTTTAAATTCTCTTTTAAATTAATCAAGTGAGAAATTTAGAAGCGTTTTATTTTTAATAATTTTTTTCAAAAACTTTTAAACATTTCTTTTTGAAAAATGTTATCTAATATGGCAAAAAACATACCATGCGTTGGTAAAACAGTTTCCTTCATTTCGCATATGTAAGAATAAGTGCCTGTTTCGTTTTTGAGAAGTTGTTGTTTAATACTTATTTTGATAAAAATATTATATTTAAATCATACTTTTCCAGACCTTTCTTTTGAGGATTAAGCAATATTTGATTTTGATGTTAAAGATATGTGTTATCAACATTTTTTCATCAAGTGAAAACCATTTTTAATATCAACTTAACCTAATAAACAAGCTATAAAATTGTATTTTATGTAAAAACTGTCCTCTGGGGCAGAATCGCATTGAAGCGCAGGAGGCACAACCGCATACTTTTGATGTCTAAGTTAGGTAATTACGAATAACAATAATTGCAATTATTGAAAAACTTGAATAGAAATAGTTGTCTTGAGATGTTAAAAATTAGATTTCGTATTTTTTATTTAATTTTGATAAGTTTTTGATTAAAATATAAAGCTAGGAATATAAATCTATATTTTGTTATATTTATCTATATCTGGTAATTATTATATTCTTATATATTGGTACATAGTTATGTATTTCTTAACTTCGAAATTTATATATATATATATATATATATATATATATATATATATATATATATATATATATATATATATATATATATATATATATATATATCGAATGAGAAAACTCAGACTGTAAATACAAAGCTTACACAGTATGTAAGCTACACAGATATATGTATCGAATGAGAAAACTCAGACTGTAAATACAAAGATTACACAGTATGTAAACGTGCAACAAAATCAGAAAATAATCTGAGCTGTGACAATTTTAAAGAAAATGTACCACAAAAAATGTACCACAAAAAAAATGTACTACAAAAAGTGTAAAAGTGTACAAACGTTATGGAGGGTGGTTATGCTCCCCACTTTCCCTAGTATGTCGTATATTACTCAACAAATATGTTTATTGTTGTATAAATATATTTTAGTTCTTCTTTATAAGAGTAATAAAATTATCCAATTTTTGTTTTGAATAATAAAATTGTGCAAATCAAAAAAAAAAAAAAGGAATAATTTATTATAGTATTTATTATAGTATTTTTCATTCTGATTTCATATTTCAAAGTTGTTTTGGTTTTTTAATCTTTGGGCTAAAATCTCTAATATTGTCAAAAAAGGGGTCTTCCATAAAGTACATACGCAGGATGGGGAGGGGGTAACCAAAAACCTATGAATGCGTACAAGGAAGGGGAGGGAGATGTTTAAGTCAGCGTTAACGTATGCGGTTTGATCTCTCGTTCTTTATCTCTCCTAAAACTTAATTTTTTTTTAAGCAAAAGCATGAAGTTTGAGATGTTGAACCTTCTCAAACTTCATGTGTTCAACAAACAACATTTTACTGCTTGACCATAAACTTGTAGAAGTGATACATTTTACTTCGTCTCTTTGTTAAGACCTAATAAAAGTTAATAATAACACATAAAACCCATAAACATCTATTAAATTTCTATGTAATATGTATTCATAACCTTAAGTTTAAGTTAAATATCTTTTCAGGAATAAATTCAAATAATAAATCTAATCAGCGTTTCCATATTGTGTGATTAGTCTATAGCTGGTTAAATAATTTATCGATTGGTTATCTTATAAAAATTGCAAGATAATTATATAAAATTAGCAACATTATAGGGTATATATAAAAAATTTATAAAAAAACTTTTTTTACAATTTTTATACTTGTTAAGCCAAGTTGATCATCAGTTTCTTCTGGACCTGTCCTCCATTTCTCTTAATTTCTTTTTTACATATGTAAATTCACTTTTATTTTTTTTGTTTCATTATAATTTTTATTTTTTTCCACTGTGATAACGGCGGTTTTTATCTTCTTCTCAACAAGTTCTTCATGATAATTTAAACTCGTTTTTAACTCTTCCACATCTTTTGATATAGCTTTAATAATATTAACATTATCGTTCGACATCTTTTCCACTTTATCAAGACGCTGATTTGTTATTTTTAGATTAGCGTTAATTATATTCTTTCTTGTTTTTTTAGTATTGCTTCAATTTTGTTCTCAAACTCCTCAAACATATCCTTTATCATTATTTTTATTTCCACTAATGTAACTGTCATTTTTGTAGGTTTGTTGTTTTATTTTTATATTATTATCATTTTTATTATTATTTTTTTATTTTATTTAAATTTTTTTTTTTTAACCACGTTGCAAACACACGTCCGATCGTTACAAAAGCTTTTGTATTTTTGTAATAAATTCGTTTTTTAAATGTATTTGCTAAACTTTACTGTTTTTATTAATGCACAGGAAAGCGAGAAAATTAATTGCTATTTATTTGTAAAATTTTTTTATTTATTAACGAGTTTTTCATGTAATAAAATAAAGTCATAAAGACTAATATTCAATTATAAAATATTTGGTTGTTTTAATTACCTTCTTTGAAATAGTCTGCACTTTCGTTTGGTTCTCCGAATTGTGCATTTAAACCCGATAGTTTAATTCCTGATGAACTATTGTTATTGACGCTCTAAAAGTTTGGAGCTAGAGCTTTATAATTTACTGAACTTTTTTAACAAAATTTTTAATAGCCTATTTAAAACTTTTTTTTAAGTTTTTAAATACATTTTTTCAAACAGAGCAATTGTTATATTCACTCTCTAGTATTTCGTATTAACTTTGGAAAGTGGGCTATAAAAAGAAAACTATTACTGACAGGCATCAAATGTGGTGAATAGATTTATAAAAGAAACCATGCAATTCTTTTTTTAATTTCTTCAGCTGCATGCCAAATATTCTATCAATTATTAACTTTATGTTCGATAATAAAGTTGTATTTTTCCATTTAGATTATTTTAATATGATTTGATATATTTTTTTAAAAAAAGATATTGATCACTCTTAAACAGACAAGAATTGTATTTTATGTTTTGGAGTTATATGGTTGAGAGAGAAAAACAATTGAAAAAATAGAGTCGCCATGCATGGCTATGAATATGCAGAAACATAACGACCTTTTTTTCAACATAAATAAAAAATAAAAGTTTTTTACTTGGACTTTTTTTGGAGCCATTCGCGTTTTGCGAATGGGCTCCTTAATTACTTCTCCATCAGAAATTACTTAAATTAATTAAAGTATTCCAATATACTTTTTAAATAAGCATATAGTATTTAATTTATAAAATTACTTAAAATACCGAGTTAAATTGTATTTTTAATATAAAATATAAACTATTTCTAAGTACCTCAACAGCACAAGCGTATAGTGATCTCGTACAGTGATTTAGACGTTAACACTGTGCACTATCACATTATACACTATAAAACAAATAAATTCAAAGTTATTAATTAATAAAATTTTATTATTACTAAACTCACAAGTTTTACTCTTTTATGAGACCTGTTTTTTGTAATTGCAACTTAACATATTGTAACCATTCAAACAGCGGTTAATTTATAAAGGAAATATTTTGTATAAAAATACTTTTTAAAGTTTAGAACATATTGTCGGGATTTAAAAAAACGGTTTAAAGACACTCAAAATGTAATTTTTAAAGTAAATACCTAAAAGGGATCGTCCATAAAGTACGTCCATAAATAGCATAAATGAGATAGAGGGGCAGTAGGTCAATTATAAAAGTATGGAGACACTAAATTAAAAAAAATATCATAAAATGTTAGGTACGTAGGTTAAAAGATTAGATATTTTAAGGGAGGTAAAGGGTACTCAAAAAAGCGTATGGCAAAATGCGGGAGGTGGGATGGGGCGAAAAAAAGCGTACGTATTTTATGGACGAACCCTAAGGAAAAGTTTACGAAACCGCTTTTACATAGCACCCACCAACCGTGGTAAAGCTGCAACAGCAGCGATAAACCAAAACATTTACCGGTTTACTTACGTCTTACCGGTTGTGTTACTTTTTTTATTTATAACTTAGCAAGTTCTTATTACTCAATTTTGTTTGAGTTAATACTTGATAAATTTTGTACTAAAGGTTTACAAGCTAAATATCGCAAAATAAAAGTGTTTTTGAAATATAAATTAGTTCTAATTAATTACCATTGTTAATTTGTTTTTAATGTGTTTATTTCAGATATTACAAAACTTTATAAAGCAAGATACTAAAGTAAAATAACATGATAGTGCCTGTAGCAAATAAAATAGAACATAGACTTGTGGTAAATAGCGAGGAAATAGTTGACGAATACGCTTGGCTCAGAGATCCAGAATGGCCAAATGTTAAAGATCCAAAAATTATTGAGTATTTGCAGGTGGAAAATAAATATACAGATCATTATTTTGAGCCTTTGCAAAGCAAAAAGGACGAAATATTTAACGAGCTAAAAAGTAGGATTAAACTAGCTGATCAATCACCTTACACTAAAGAAGATAACTTTTATTACTATTCGAGAACAGAAGAAGATAAGGATTATCCAATATATTGCAGAAAAGCTTTTTCAGTATCAGATCCTGAGGAGATTATTTTAGATGTTAACGTTCTTGCAAAAGATAAAAAGTTTACTAATGTTGGATACTTAGCTACATCTCCTGATCATACATTGCTGGCATATTCTGTTGACTTTACAGGTGATGAAAAATTTACTCTAAAGATATATAATTTAAAAACTCAAGAATATTTAGCCGATGAAATAAATAACATTGGCAGTAAAATTATTTGGCATGAAACTCTTGGAGGCCTTTTTTATATGCCACTTAATGAACAACTTCGTCAAGATAAAGTAATGTTTCATTTTTTAGGAGTTGATAATTTAAATGATAAATTAATATTTCAGATTTCTGATCCATTATATCAGCTTGTAACTTCCAAATCATCAAGCAAAAAATATATATTTATTGAAAAAAATGGTCATAGTGCTAATGAGATTCATGCTATCAGAATGAATGATGATACTTTTCAACCAAAACTCATCAAACCATTAAAAGAAAATATATTTTATGATGTTAAGCATAATGGCAATAACTTCTATATTAAGACAAATGAAAATGCTAAAAATTTTCAAATAGTTATTGTGGATGAAAATGATTTTGAAAATGATTTATGGAACAATGAGTTCATTGCTCATGACCCTTCTAAATATCTTTCAAGCTTTTCTCTTACTAAAAACTATTTATTACTTAATTACCGTGATAAAGGTATTCCATTAATTAAGGTGACCAGTTTACAAGATAAATCAGAAAAAGTTATTAATTTTCCAGATCCATCTTTTACTGCTTTTGCCAAATCAACCAACTTTGAAGAAGATGATATTAGAATAGACTACTCTTCACTTGCTAGACCAAATACTACTTATAGCTATGATTTTACTAATGATAAGTTAACTATATTAAAAGTTCAAGAAATCCCAAGTGGTTTTGATGCTGAAGAATATAAGGTAGAAAGAATATTTGCTGATAGTGAAGAAGTGAAAATACCTGTCACCTTATTATATAAAAAATCATTATTTAAAAAAGATGGGACTAATCCTGTTTATTTATATGGTTATGGTTCCTATGGTTATGCTGTTCCAGTATCATTTAAAAACAACGCAATATCTTTAGTAAACCGGGGATTTGTTTATGTTATTGCCCATATCAGAGGTGGTGATGATTTGGGGTTTTATTGGTATGAATCAGCTAAATTTCTCAATAAAAAACGCACATTTTTAGACTTTATTGCTGCATCTGAGGCTCTTATTAGAGAAAATTATACAAGTGAAAATAATATAGTAATATGTGGTGGTAGTGCTGGAGGGTTGTTGATTGGGGCAGTTATTAATGAACGACCTGAATTGTTTAAAGCAGCAATTGCTCATGTGCCTTTTGTTGACGTATTAAATACAATGTTAGATGAAAGCTTACCTTTAACTCCAGGAGAATTTAAAGAATGGGGAAATCCTAAGGAGCCAGAGTTTTTTAGCTATATTAAATCATATTCACCATACGACAATGTAAAGTCTCAAAATTATCCAAGTTTATATGTTACAGCAGGTCTTTCTGATCCAAGGGTAAGTTACTGGGAAGCAGCCAAATGGGTAGCAAAACTTCGAGAGAAAAAAAGTGATAGCAACATTTTGCTGTTAAAAACTAATATGGATTCTGGACATTATGGAGCTTCCGGACGATTTGATTATTTAAAGGAAGCAGCTGATGATATAGTGTTTATAATCAGTGTTTTTGGCATTTAAAATTTTTAAATTACAACATATATTGTCTCTTTAGAACTGCAAGGTCATAATGACATTTTTATTAAAATGTGACTATTAGCAAAACTTAATAATCTAGCATGTATACTTGAGTTTAAAATTCTTGCATGCTAATATTTTGCTAAATTTTGGCTATAAAAATACATGCTAGATTATTAACTTTTATTAATAATATACTTTTACTAAAAATGTTATTTACCAACTTAGAGTTGTAAAGGGACAATATATAATTTTTATATAAATATTATGTATAATATAATATATGTGCATAAATTAGTTCTTAAGAATTTATATATATATATATATATATATATATATATATATATATATATATATATATATATATATATATATATATAAATTACACACTCACACATATTAAAGGTTTACTGTGTTTGTAGTAAAGCTAGTAGTATTATAAAATAAAATTTTTTACTAAAATATTGATGAAGGTTCGTGCACTTATCTATTGTTTAGAACAATGATTATTAAAAAAGGTTGTTTTGTCAATAATTTACAAAACTTTAAGCAACACTTTATTATTATTTATTTGTTTTTTCCAATTTTAAAATATTTATACAAATGAAATAAATAAAAACTAAATTTTTATTGTATTTTTTGAATTAGATGTTCGAGAAATAGAAACTTATGATGTTCTGCAGTTTTTTTTTTAATTGTAAAAATTGTTCTTGATTTATAAACAATGGCTAATTTAACTTGCTTGCATAGAAAAAAAATCAGACCAAATGGTTTTGGTTTATTCAGTTCAGGGTTCTGTCTTGCGTTAACTAAACTTATCTATTTATTTTGAACATAATTTCTTTCGTTTTTCAAATTTAACTGATTTCAGGCGTTTTAATATTTATCCAAGTTCAGACTTTTTGTTCAACAAACTATGCTTTTTCAAAAGGTAATTGAGAATATAAAAATTGTAATTAAGAAATCGCAATATGTAACTGAGTAACACAAAATGTAATTTAGATGTCATAATATGTAATTAAGAATATGTAAATATAATTAAGAAATCGTAATATGTAAATGAGAATACATAATTTGTGATTGGGAAATCACAATGTAAATGTCATTATAAAAGGTCTTCTGAGACGTGAATTTGAATAAATTAATGATATCAAACTATGCATTTTTATGCACCAGCAATAATAATTGAATTGACAAATCGTTGTGTTATTTGTCAATACACTATGACCCAAAATTCTGTTATTAAATTGAATTCGTGTCAACATTTATTTCATCAAATTTACTTATATACACTTCTGAAACAACAAGAACCAACTTGTCGGCATGTAATACATACAACATAACAAGTTGAAAGAAAATATTACGTTTTATCAACACTGAATTTATCAACACTGAAAAAAAGTTGTTGAACGTGCTGAGCTCGTAAATAAAATAAAAAAGAATTTTCAAGGCAAACCCAAATGTCTTATGAATGACACCTAAAGCTTGAGTCAGAGCAAAATGACGATTAGTCACCTAATCGTCATTTCGCTCTGGCGCAATTTCGCTCGAAAATTCTTTTTTATTTATTTTTGGTACTCTAAGAAGCCCTTATGGTCTTATCACAAAGCACCGCGAAAGAGCATTTGAAGGGAAGTTCATGCCTCCTTCCTTACCGATGTTATAAAACTTGTCAAGAGGTGGTATTGAACCACGGATCTCTAGCTTCTGAGGCAAACGCGCTAACCATTTCGCTACGGCTGCTCGGAATTTTAACGAAAGCTGTATCAACAACAAACGTTATCATAATGGAAACTCACAGAGGATCATTGAATGCAAATTCAATATTTCACCAGTAGGTTGAATCAAATCCTCTAAACGATTCACATTCGGGAGGGAGTTTAGAGGATTTGGTTGTCGTAACAGACAATGTTCTAATCAAAAGGGTGTTTGAAAATTCAACAGCTTAGTTATTATATTTATGACCATACAGTCTAATAATAAACCCGGTAAAAACAATTTGGTCCAAAATTTAAAGTAACATTCAAAATGCGATTCGTGTTCCACCTGTGCGAACCCTATGTAGAACACTATTTGGAAAAAATTATTACTTTAATTTTAAATCGCATATGACCACGCATTACGCACACATAAATGAAAAACGTCCAAGTTGGTATTTAACTGAATATTGCAATGATTTTTAATCACAAAGGAAGTTCTAACTGACATCCGATAGGATTTTTCCCGTTACTGCCAAAATCGAAAATGTCTTTTTCATAACTCTTTAATTTTAATGACTAGTATATTATTATTTACTGAAAATCAATTCATCATGGACGCCTTGGCCAAATTAAAAACCCAACTTTAAATTACATGGTAAATAAAGGCAACAAAATTAAAAATACAAAGAACTTTGTTGTGAAAATCTATATAATAAACTTTTCCTAATTACAACTATTATGCTCTCAATTACATCTTATGATTTCTTATTAACAGCTTTCATGTTTTAAATTAAATTTTACGTCCTAAATTACACCTTTGCGTTTCTCAATTACAATTTTCATTTTCTCAACTACATCTTACGTTTTTTAATTACAAATTTCAAGTTCTAAGTTACATCCTTCAAAGGTGTAGTCTATGTTTTGTATAATTTGTTATCGCGATGTATAAATAACGGACGTAAACAAATATGTCAACTGACATTTTGTATTTGGCGCGAATAAATTAAAGATGTGTAAAAAAAATTAAAATCAATTAATTAAAAAAATGCTTTAAAATTTATTTTCCATTGAAAATCAAATCTTTTTACTTTGATTATTTTATCGTCATACTTTGGCATCAAAATGGCATCGTCATACCCAATTATAAGCTTTTCTTTGATTTTAGTGTTACAGTAAAATTTCGGTAACTCTAACCGCTAAATGATCAAGGAAAATAGTTTAACGTAACGAATGTTCGAAGTAAAACGTTGAATGAACAATGAAACAAATATTCAAAGTAAAAAAAGTGTTCTTGGTTTCAAGACGCAATAGAAAACAGTTCAAGATAACAAAAGCTGGATATAGTGTTTGAGTTATCGGGAATTAAGTGCATAACCACGTTGTTTAGTGCTTTAATCAGAGTGAACTTTTTAGTTAGATTTAATTATCTAACATAATCCAACGAAATGGATTATGTTAAATAACCCCATTGTTGCCAAATAAATTGTTATCAATAACGTATAGCTCTGTGTAAGGAGCTTCGCCGTGCTTTAAAATACAGTTGCCATTCAGAAAGTTGTTTGGAATGTCTGGTAATTATATTTAATTCAAAACATCTATGAACTTGTTTTAATTGGTTCTCTAAAATCAAATGTGGTACATTTGACAAAACCATAAATTGTATAATACTAAATATTTGCGGTAACAAATAGAATTAGGCTCATCAATAATTATTTTCAGTTTACTTGCATATTTTGATCTGGTGATACGTATTTGTGACTTAATTTTTTAATATCATTTGTAAGTTAAACAAACACTGTGAAACGAGTGCTCATAATATTTTTAACATTTGGTTTTTGACACCTGAATTTGAAATGGGACGTGGTAAGCGTTTAAAAAATGAAGAAACAGTAAGATTGAGTAAGATGAAAAAATAGCTATAATCAAAGCATACAAAGGTACAGGCTTATCTAACCGGGGATTGCGAAAAAAAAAATTAAAAGATCTCCAAAAGTGGTTAAAAATTACCTCAAGATGGGCGTTATGGAACTTAAAAAAAAACTTAAAAAAAAACTTTGTATGTTTCTATCAAAGCATAAAAAAATACAGGCTTATCTAATCGGGAAATTGCGAAAAAAAAAATTAAAAGATCTTTAAAAGTGGTTAAAAATTATCTCAAGATGGGCGTTATGGAGCTTATAAGGGAAGTGGTAGCAAATGTAAAATTAATAGTTGTACTAAAGGAACTATTTTATGTTGCCGCTCAACACATGACTGTATCTACAACTTGCTCTGGTTTACAATTACCTGTAACTGTTCAACGTGTGAGACAAATCTTACATGAAAATCTAAACGCAGTTTGAAAAAAGCGTAAACCAAAACCAAAACTTACTGTTTGTCATGAAGAAGCTTTACAATTTACAAAAAAAAAACTTGGCAGAAAGAGTGGCATCAAGTTTTTTTTAGTGATGAAAAAAAGATGAAATCTAGATGGCCCTAATGATTATCAATATTACTGGCAAGAACTTTGAAAAGAGGCAGAAACTTACTGAGTCGTAACTTTGGTGGTGAAACTGTTATGGTTTGGGGGGCTTTTTTCTTGCTAGAAAACATTGACTTATTGAAAATTAGTTTGCTTGAACATAGTGAAAAACTGATGGGTGAAAATTTCACTTTTCAATAAGACAATGATACTATCCATAATTCAAATCTTACAAAAGCTTGGTTTAGAGAAAAAATATTCTTGTAATTGAATAGCCCGCATACAGTCCTAATCTAAAATCAATTAAAAATTTATAGGGAATACTTTCTAGAAAAGTTTATGAAAATGGTAAGCTATTTGAATCAAGGAATATACTGGGCCATTTATTTGTGATCATTGTTAGTGCGCACTCTTACCCTCTCATATGCGGACTCTTACCCTCATGATCGGTTAAAAGTGCGCAATTCTAAGTTTTTATAAAACTTATATTTTCTAGCAATATTTATAAAAAATATTTTTAATATGTTTTATATAAAATTTATATTTTCTTTCAATGCAATATTATTTGTATAATGTCTAAAGTTTTGTTATATATTAAAGATTATTGAATAAAAATTTGGACTGTCAATTATTTTAGTTACTTATTTTATGAATAAAAGTTAGGTGCACACATTTACCCTCGTTTCCTGTAAAAATTTACCTATTTACTATAAAATTAAAGTATAACACTTAGTTATAACAACTTTTTAAAAGAAAACTTGGAAGCATATACTGATAAGTAACATGCTACTTAAAGTGACAAGAAGTGATTTGGTCATAAACTTTTCTTTCAGAATTAAGAGAACTCTCTTGTAGATTTTTGTCCAACAACTGTTTCTTAATACTAAATCATGGTCATTAGATAAAACAATAAATGGTATTACAGATTTTCAAGAATGCAGAACACTTTAGAGTTTTGCGCCAGTAAAGATCATCGAGTTCTCTGTTATAGAATTGGCTGTTAAGTGCATTCATGAAAACTTATTGCATATTTCGATAAACAACCCAATCTAGCTGCAAGTTTTAAATAAGTTCAATTTTTCACTTTTTA